TTCTTACTCTTGGAGAACCTGGCAGGCTACCGAGAGTATCCTGCCCACATGGCAGAGTCTGGCATACTCCCCGTGGTGTATTCGATATGCCAAATACCAGTAACAATGATGTGGCTCACTGCTGGCAGTTTCTATCTTCATTGTCTACGCACCAACATCCAATTATGATGAAGGAGAAACTGAGAAGTTCTACATGGAGCTGGAGAAGTTCTATAAAGAAGACCACACCTACAAGATCATTGTCAGTGATTTTAATGCCAAGATAGGACCGAGAAGATTAGCCGAAGAACTCCACATCGGGACCTACGGTCTAGAAGGGAACGAACAGGGTGAGAGACTGTCTGAGTTCATCATGTCGACCAAGACCTTTCATGGTAACTCACAGTTCCAGAAGGCTGAACCTAAACATTGGACTTGGGAGTCTCCCGGTGGATGGTTCCACAATGAAATTGACCACATCATATTCAATCGACAGTTTTGCCTGACTGATGTGGCTGTTGTCCCACAGTGTATATATATATATACATATATATATATAAAATATTTTTGTTGTTGTTGTTTTGGGGCTGCCATTGGCTATGCTCAGTTCTTATTTCTGGCTCTGTACTCAAGAGATCACAGGGTTGGGACAAATGAAGACATTGCTGGAGCCCACTCGAGCAAGTTGAACAACGGAAAGACAGTGCTACAGTGCTATAGTGCTACTCAGAGATCACTTCTGGCAAGGCTCTGGGAGTTGTATCTGGCGCCAGGGATTGAATCTACAGGCAAGGCAAGTGCCCTACTCTCTATACTATCTCTTTACTATCTCACTGGTTTTCAAATCATGTTTTATTTTATTTTTTTATTTTACGATGCTTAGAATAGCAGACTTTTATTTACCAAACATGTATGTATCTTAGGCCCAAATCAGTAAATGCCTATCATAGATTACAATTTTTTTGTAGGAGTACTGCTATTTATTCAGCCAGTGATTAGCTGATTGAATTGTGCATGAACTCCACCTTACTTTTTTTTTCATTTTTTATCATTTTATTTATTGAATCACCGTGAGAGCAGTTACAAAGCTTTTGGGTCTAAGTCTCAGTCATACAATGAAACACCCGTACCTTCACCAGTGCCCATTCTCCACCACCAAAAATCCCAGTATACCCCCATCTTACACCCTCCCCCTGACTGTGGGGCAGATGATTTCCACATTACTATCTCTCTACTTTGATCGCATTCAATATTTCGACACCAGACCCACCATTATTTGAGATTTTACCCCAAAACTCAGATCTGCTGAAAAGACAACAATAGACAATTTGTGTTCTATTGCTGGTTATGAATAACATATGATGTTGCATGGCTGCAGTAGGGCCATGTGGTTTTGAAATTCTGAAATTTTAACACTTAAATCTGGAGGGATTTCTGCCAAAAGCCACTGGGTTTCAAGAACTGCTCCTGAGTCTCTGGGATCATGGCCATTGAGCAGCTTGATGAGCCAGAGAGGCCGTTCGTGGGCAATGACTTGGGGTCTCATTGGGGTGGGGAGGACAGGCCCGGCTCCCGACCCACCCCCCCCCCATCCCGTGAGGTCCAACAAGTTTCATCACTGCGGGCTCAAGCCTGACTGTCCAATGGCCTCTGGAGAATGACAGCCATCAAGTTGTCAAGAGGGAGCAGGCGGAGGGACAACACCCTTTCCTCCCTGGGGTTGCCTGGCGACAGTAACGTACTGTGGGGTCCGGATGCATTTCTGCCAAAAGCCACTGGGTTTTGGGATTTGTTTCTGAGTCTCTGAGATCATGGCTGTTAAGCACCTTGATCAGGAGCCAGGGAGGCCGTTCATGGGCGATGACTTGGGGTCTCGTTGGGGTGGGGAGGACAAGCCCGACTCCACCACCATCCTGTGAGGCCCTGTGTGTCTCGTCACTGGGGGCCCAAATGTGACTATCCAGTGGCCTCAGAAGAATGGCGGCCACTGGGCCACCAGGGAGAACAAGCCAAGGCATGAAACCTATTCCCACCTGGGTTGGCCCAGCACCGGTAGCCTACTGCAGAGACTGGACGCATTTCTACCTAAAGCTGCTGGGTTCCGAGATTCGTTTCTGAGTCTCTGGGATCACGGCCATTAAGCAGTTCAATCAGGAACCAAAGAGGCCTTGCCTCCAATTATATAGCTGAGCCAGAGGTGGTTTGTGGGTGTGTTTCCCACATACCTAACTTTTGGCTGTTTACTTTCTTGGTAAACTTTGCCCCAAGTTTTTGGGGTCTGGCCAAAGGCACAGCAGCAATTTTGGGGTATCTGGAAGTCTGAAGGTGCCATGAGGCTGCTGATGCACTCGCCTCACAGGTACAGATTGACCTGCTGGCGGCACCATATCCCCTATAGATTACAATTTTTAAGTTTAATTTCTAATCAGATTCTAATTGTTAATTTTGGTATGCAATTCAAAATAACCACGGGGGGGGGGGGGGGAACACCTGAAATCAGTTGGATATTTTCCACAATTTTTAATGATCAATAGCATGCTTCACATATAAATCAATCCTGAAAACTCTCAAACTTCAGAACACAAAAATTAATTTCTGATTTTATATTTCCCAAAAGTGGTTAATTTTCAACAGGGGCTGCCTCCAGGAGTCAGTGCTGGGAAATGGGATACAGGGGCTATTCCCAGCCATGCTAAGCCAGGCAGTGCAGGTCTAAGTGTTCAGTGCTCCACTAAATCTGGAACAAATGTGGTAAGGTATTCAAACCACTGCCTGATTGTTGAGTCACCAAATAAATACACCACTTTTCTTTGTAAGCATTCTGCGATGTTGTCAGGATCATTGAATTGGTGACTTTAATTTCCTGGGTCTCCACTGATCTTTGTAATAATATCCAGAAGGGAAAAGATTCCTGAGCCTTGAGATAGTTGTAGGTTGTTAGTTTCTTTTATTATCTTGGGAATTTCCGTCACCCAATCTGGTTCACTGGAGTTGATTTGTGTTTTGATATTGATACCACTGTAGAAGAAAGCATCCTCTGTGGCCGTCAAGAGCCCCTTCAGGTATCTGCCTTTGAAATGGTTGATTCTGCTCCTCTAAGGAAGCTTCTCTGGTTTAAAGCAGAACCAAGGTTCACCAGGATAGAGATTCGTAAAGTTACACAGGGGCTCCAACCCCCCTCCCCGCCCCGGAAGACACACATTGCACCGAGTAGTCTCGGAAATTCTTCCTGATTGGAAGAGACTCTTGAAATAAACCCTGTCGGTTTCTCTTCTTGGAGATGCTGAAGAACTCAGATCCCTTTGCTGGGGTTGACCAAAGATATGGACACTTTAACTTTGCCTGGCCAGAGCAAAGTGAAAATGACCTTGTAAAACCCGCTGATAGTCCACTACTCAGCCCACAGCCCCTGCCTGCTGCTTTGGGTCCTGAAGAGAGTCGCTGCCAAATTTCATGGATTCCTTTGAAAATCCTGTACGTGGAGCAGCACCTCCAGCTGGCGGCCCACTTTGAAGAAGGTGGCAGAGTTCAAGATGACAAAATAGCTGAAAGAAGGGTCAGTGCTCTGCAAAAAAGGGAACAGACCCATTTTGGGCAGCTGCCACTGCAAGGATTGTGGTTGAAATAGTTTCACAGTCTAAGTACTCTACCTGAGTAACAGTGATAATGAGCCCCATGACCATCAACATTGAAAGCAAATGGCAGAAATGCTGTAGTTTGAAGAAATTGATCCACATGATCTGGCTGTGTCTTGATCACCCATGGCAGACACTGTGATACCCTCATGCCTCAAAACTCCATGTTTCTTTTTTTTTTTCTGAGCTGCAGGTGATCTTTGAGTTTAATTTGCTACTTTTCTGCTAATATCCTTCAGGGCTCTTTGTACAGTGGAATTGCTGGATTTGATTTAAGGGGCGCATTTCTCTGCATAGGAACCCTTCAAGGGTTGGGGGGAGATGCAAAAACACACTGCGACAGCCTTTTTCTAGAAGTTGCCAAGAAGAGATGCTAGTTAGAGCTAAGAAATCAGTTTTCATCAAACTTTCCTTCCAGTAGCACTGTAGCACTGTCCTCCTGTTGTTCATCGATTTGCTCTGGCGGGCCCAGTAATGTCTCCATTTTGAGACTTGTTACTGTGTTTGACATGTTGAATACGTCACAGGTAGCTTGCCAGGCTTTGCCCCGCAGGCGAGATACTCTCAGTAGCTTGCTAAGCTCTCCGAGAGGAGTGGAAGAATCCAACGCGGCTCAGCCCGCCTGGCTGTGCGCAAGGCAAATGCCCTACCGCTGTGCTATCGCTCTAGCTTCCAGTGTGACATTCTAAACGTAAGTTCTCAGCAGAGCAGCGGATATTGTTTTCTCACCACACTCAAAGTAAATGTTAATGCTTTTACATTTTATACCATTCTTCCTGCTCTAGGTCAGGCCGCTGCTACGTGGGCTCAGGACTAGGTGGTCCACAGCCCCTCCCCACCCCCTACCCCCACAGCCACTGAGCCAGGCCACCTGGGCTTCCTGGCCCCATCTCAATCCACGTTTTAAAAGCAAGAAGAAAGATACAAAGTGGATTATTAGGACAAGTTTTCTGCATGTCTTAGACAAAATAGTCTAGTCCGTACCCTGGAAAGAGAGAAATGGGAAGAGAGAAATGGGAAGGGAGAAAGAAGCAGTTCTTTCTTAGTTCCTATGTGTTAATGATTTGATGACTTATTTTTTGGCAAAATATAGAAATTGTCTTAATTGCAAGAGAGAAAACTATAGCGTTCCCAATCGTCACCCTTTTTACTTGCTACAGCCCATCTCTATATCCTGTTAGAGCCAGCGTTGACCTTGTATCCAAGACTGACCTTGATATTGGGAAATGGGTCACCAGGATTTGTCCAGACATTGTTTTTCTGTGTGTCATAGTCACAGTCAATATAGTCTGCAAAATGAGGAAAGCACGTGCATATTGGGAAACAGGTTTGCCACAAAACTTAAGTACAAAGGTTCATGTGAGTCCTCACTGATAAATGGGTGATTTCGAAAGGCAGTTTTTAGCTTGCAGATGCGTTGCATTGCGTACACCCAAAATGTTCTGTGGAGAAACTCATCATAGAATGAAAGGTAAATACCCTAAATTTTGTCATCTATCATTGGAGTCCGTCTTGCTTTATTTTACTAGTGGTTAGATTCTATCTCCTAATTTCTTCTGGAGTGTCTTCATTTATAGGGGCTCTTACACTCTGGTGGTGGAATCTTCCTAAGCTCCGATGCCTTGCTTATTAGAGGTTGGAGTAGTAAGAAAATCAGTCCTCAGTGGCTTTCATCAAAAATGCTCCAAACTATCTGGATCTAGAGCACATTCACAACTGGCCATCAGGAATTGGAATCCAGAAATTAGAAAAGCATTCTTTGTCATTCATCTGCTTCTTTTTCAATAGAACATGCTATGAGTTCACTTGTCACAAGTACGGCCACCCTTATAGACTGTCTTAAAATAATATCTCTACTTTTATTGGCTCAACTGGAGTTTTGGGTTAACTTCCGGTACAACGTTTGGTGGCTTGAAAAGAAAGTACTTATAAATATGACTATCTTAGTTTCCAAAGAGGAAAGAATGGGAATAATCAGGACAGAAGTACTGGAAGTTATTTATGATGGTCTATGATGTTATCGTCTGGAATTGCTTATCTACTGTTGTAGACCAGCCTTTATCACTTGGCATTATTATTATACTGCCAAACAAGACATATGCACTCAAATATTTTCTAAGTTTGCATTAATTCTCTTTTGTATTCACTCATTTTAGACTATTAAAATTTTATTCTATTATATAATGTGTATCAGTACTCCATCTTAGCCTCAAGTTTGTTCTATATATAAACAATTTTTTAGCCTTTAATTTTTTTAATTTAAATTTGATTTTCTTGAAGGGTGGTTATAACTTGAATAGGGAGGGAAGGCTTCTGTGATGGAGATGGAAATGCACCAAGAGTAGGTCTTACTCAGGAACAAGCCTAATTTCGTCATTTGTCATGGGTAAGCCAAAGTTAAACACTGTAAAGGCATTTGGAGGGCAGTTTACTAAGTGTAAGAATTTTATCCTCCAAATCCTGGAGGTGTTCTGTGGGGTATCTGAGGTAGTAGCTGAAGTTCAGGGCCTTGCTCAAGGTCATTTAACAATGGTGTGACCAAAGAGGGATTAGAATTCACAGTCACAGTGTCTGGAATTCCTGTGCATGACTGGACTTTGCTACGTGATGTTACTTGGGGACAACGGTAGTTATTGTGGCAACAATATCTCCAGAGACCCAGGGGAGGGACAATAATGGATCAGATCATTGGCTCATGGAATGGCACAACTGGAAGGGGTCTTGTGGATTGCAAGGTCCAACACTCTTCATTTCTCAGGGAGGACATGGGCATAGATGGAGATGGAGAGACGTGGTCACAGGCTGAGCAGAGCTGAGGACTCTATCTTATGGTTCTTGGCTTCCTGCATCATAAGATTTGTTGGATTTTACATAAATATAATGTATTTATTTAAATGGACTCTAGAATTGTATAATAGGAGAAACATTTGGCAAATTTGTAAAGTGAAAATTACATTCTATTATTTGAGCCATTGCCTAATTTACACTTATTTGACTATATAGTTTTAATCAGAATTTTATTTCTTTTGAATTCCTCAGAGATGGACTTCCTTTCACAGTGAAGTAGATCTATTATGTAAGGAGGCTAATACATTTGTGATTCTAAATATCAATATTATTACTTTACATTCAAATAAAATATACAAAAATTGTGAAACCACTTCTTATGACTATCATAATTAAACACCAATCATGTGCTTACAATTTGATTTGGCTCAACACATGTGATATATCATTGCTATGCTTGTAAAGATGCTGAGAAAGTAACTGGTATTTTGGTTGTTTTGGGGTAAGAGAAGTGGAGATCAAGATCATATGTAGAATTAAAAACCATCCAGATGATTTGAAGCCAGGCTTATTTGAATCCAGCAACATTGAAGAGAAGATCTTTGCCCCAGTTCCTTAATCACAGGTGAGTGAATGCAGAGATAGCACAAGGAGGTGATACGTGCAGATATGCAGCTGACCCTGGATCAATTACCAGCACCACATATGATCTACTAAGCATTGCTGGGTGTGGCCCCCAAACAAACAAATAATAAATATGAAATTTCTCAGGAGAAAATGAGCTAACATAAGAACTAGACTTAGTCACTCGCCCCAATCAAGAAGCTGAGTTTACACTCAACCTGTAAATTTCTAATCTATGTAGCCTTAAGGCAAAACACATACAAATTCTTCAAGGCAAGCTAATCAAGCCTTTCTCTCTTTCTTTCTCTCTTTCTTTCTTTCTTTCTTTCTTTCTTTCTTTCTTTCTTTCTTTCTTTCTTTCTTTCTTTCTTTCTTTCTTTGTAAATGTTCCCCCACCCTATCCAGCAAAGCAGGAAGGAATCTCTAGCTCTGAGTCTGGTTGTGTTAAAGCAACCTGCCCACTGCATGACCTTCCTGGGTTTACGGGAATGAGAGACTCTGCCACCTTAGACCACACGCCTTTGATTTCCCCAGGTAAGAGCTGCCTCTAATGTCATATGTCTATCTTTGGAACCCCAAGCAGCAGACTTCAATTAGGAATTCATAGACCAGTGGGACATGGGCAGTTTCTGAACCAGGTGCAACTTGGTAACAGACAAGGGAGTTTTTGTGCTAGGTGGATGCGTTCAAACTCGCAGTGTAAGGGCTTGGACCCTTTCATCAAGGCCCTACACAATCCGTGCTGCCTCTCTCACACTCAGGCACAGGCTCTCTCTCTTGTCCTTTCACAAGTCTCTTCTCCAACGAAATTTTGCCTGGAAAAAAGAAAAGGAAAAAAACACACACACAACTTAAGAAGAGAGCATGTGGATTATGAGTTTAAAGATAGCACTGTAGCACTGTTGTCCCGTTGTTCATCGATTTGCTAGAGAAGGCACCAATAATGTCTTCATTGTGAGACTTGTTACTGTTTTTGGCATATCGATTATTCCACGGGTAGTTTGCCAGGCTCTGTCGTGCAGGTAGGATACTCTCTGTAGCTTACGAGGCTCTCTGAGAGGGCCGAAAGAATCAAACCCAGGTTGGCGCAAAAGTTGAGGCATGGGCCTCAGAGAATAGTGTTGGAGTAGAGTCAGTTGCATCATCTGCAGGGACATAGAGAGCCCTGAATTCCAGGAAAAGCAGTCACTAGAAACCAAGAGGTTGCCTATTTCAGCCTGTTGCCTAGAGCTGACCCTGTTTCTTTTTTTTTTTTAATTTCTTATTAGTGAATCATCGTGGGGTACAGTTACAGACTTAGAAACTTTCGTGCTTGTATTTCAGTCATACAGTGATCAAGTATCCATCCCTCTACCAGTGCTCATTCTCCAACTATTCTTGGGTGTTAATCTCCCATTCTGTTAGTTTGTATTCCACAGATGAGTGCAATCTTTCTATGTTTCTCCCTCTCTTTCTGACTCATTTTACTTAACATGATGCTTTCCATGTTGATCCATTTATACGAAAATTTCATGACTTCATCTTTTCTAACAAGCTGATCCTGTTTCTGAACATCTACCAGAATAATTTTTGGCTTAAGTGAGGACAAGGTACCATCCACCTGCCCATTGGAGAGGCCAGCTAGGGCCAGAGATTCTCAGTATGACATTTCATTCACAACAAGAATTTTGCTCTTGAATAATACATCTTGAAGGAGAAAAAACCTTATTCAGCTTTGACAGATATAGTATAGACAAGGATGTTTAGCTCATGAACTTTTTGTTTTTAATCTTCCCAGATCTCCAGTTACCATCTATGTAGTGTTGGACCAGTGATCTTTATTTCTAAATTCTCCTCTATAAAATGGGAGAGCAATAGCACAGCCTTCAGAGCCTTATCATAAGAGTTTAATGTGATATGCATGCCACACACTGGGCACTCAGCCAGGCACTCTGTACACAAATGCTCACAGTCCTCATTGCCATTGCTTTATTGTTCTGATGGCTCTTTAGGAGAAATAAGGAGAACAAACCTCACTTTTGTATGGATTACTCTACAGATCTGCATCCATTCTTTAAAAGTAATAGGCTACACACATTTCCTGGACGTTAGTGTCATGATACAAAATCAACTAGTGTGTTGATAGTCCTTGCTATGCTACCTGGGAAGTGGGCAGAGATGAGTTCGGTATGCTAGCTCTTGTCCTGGACCGTGGACTGTGTGATGGAGCTACTCATGATGATTTGTGACAGTATATCACCTCTCAGCTAGACTGGAAGTCAAACTACCATGTTCCTAAAATAACTACACAAACCCGTTGTCTCACTGTGCCTAAGAAATCTTAATTTAGATAAGTGGTTAGGTTATATCACTGAAAAGTTGATATCATGAGAGATGTATTACCATTGGCCCTTGTACAATGTGGAAACTGAAAGTACAAACCCCATGCAGTTAAATATCTACATATGGAACAAGTTATGGCTCAATAGGCTGAACCTATGCTTTGTGAAGGATGCCTGGGTTTGATTCCTGGCATAGGTAATCCCCTTGGTATAGATCCAGGTATATCCCCTGAGCACACCTGGGTGTGGCTCCCTACCCTGGAAATAATCCACAGATAACTTTGAGTTTTACACAACCTTATTACTAATGGTCTGTTGCTGATATGAAGCATGACTGATAGCATAGTTTAAACATATTTGTATGTTATATGCATTATACACTGTGTTCTTACAATAACATCAAGGGCAAGGAAAATATTATTAAAATCAGGGGCTGGGTATAGCTCAGTGGTAGAGCGCATGCCTCATATGTGTGTGGTTCTGCCTTTTAATCACTGGAGCCAAAATTTTTTTAAGTGAATTTAAGTGGAAAAAGTACTATAAAAATATAAATGTAGAAAAGAAGATGCATTTAAAGTACTCTTTTATGTTTATCAGTCGTACTGTATTGATCAATGATAAGCTTATGTAGTCTCTTTCTCCAAAAATCTGCATTAAAGTGAATTGGCACCGTTCCAGCCCATGTTGCTCCTGAGTCAAGTGTGCTGCTATTTCTTGAAGAAGGGCGCATATCACCTTTTAGGGAGCCACCAGGAGCACTGGGTTTGATCAAGAAGGAAATGAGAAGCAACTGAGTCAAAGTCTCAATCAAAGTTCCAGAAGAAAAGACAACGCAGAGCAGAGCTGATAGCTAAAATGGGCTAGTTTATATGATTTAGGTTACAAACATGGTTTCCAGTTGCCTTGCATCTGCCTGAGTATGACTTCTGGTGCAGGAACTATTGGCTTGGCATGTGAGATTTAGATAAAAGGAGGTGGCTAGAGGAAATGGGCTCAGAACTGAATGATTTACACACAGAAGTTGTGATCATAGACAAGGTTAACGGCTTTAACAATTAGTGGTGGGCGGGGCATTGCCTTCCTGAGTCTAGAAGATCTTCAAAATATTAAAAGCCCAGTACCTTGTATATCCTTGATATCAACCCCTTGTCGGATGTGTACTTGGTGAATATCCTTTCCCGTTCTGTAGGCTGTCTTTGTATTTTGGTCAATGTTTCTTTTGAGGTGCAGAAGCTTCTTAGTTTAAGATAGTCCCATTTGTCTATCTCTGTTTTCACTTGCTCGGCCAGTGGCGTGACATCTTTGAAAATACCATTAGCTTCAATATCATGGAGAGTTTTGCCGACTTTGTCTTCAATAAACATTATGGATTCTGGTCTGGTGTTGAGGTCATAAATCCATTTTGATCTTACTTTTGTGCGTGGTAACTCCACAAGAAGAAATCACCCAACCCCATCAAAAAATGGGGTGAGGAAATGAACAGAAACTTTCGCAAAGAAGAAATTCGAATGGCAAAAAGGCACATGAGAAAATGCTCTACATCACTAATCATCAGAGAGATGCAGATCAAAACCACAATGAGATATCATTTCATACCACAGAGACTGGCCCACATCCACAAGAACAAAAGCAACCGGTGCTGGCGCGGATGTGGCAAGAAAGGGACCCTCCTTCACTGCTGGTGGGAATGCTGGCTGGTCCAACCCTTTTGGAAAACAGTATGGACGACTCTCAAAAAATTAGAATTTGATCTGCCATTTGTCCCAGCTATAGCTCTCCTGGGAATATATCCCAGAGAGGCAAAAAGGTATAGTCGAAGTGACATCTGCAATTGTTTGTTCATTGCAGCACTCTTTACAATAGCCAGAATCTGGAAAAAACCTGAGTGCCCAAGAACAGATGACTGGTTAAAGAAACTTTGGTACATTTACACAATGGAGTACTATGTAGCTGTTAGAAAAGATGAAGTTATGAAATTTACATACAAGTGGTACTACATGGAAAGTATCATGTTAAGCGAAATGAGTCAGAAAGAGCGGGATAGACACAGAAAGATTGCATTCATCTAGGGAACATAAAGCAACAAAAAGGGAGATTAACACCCAGGAATGGCTGAGATTAGTACCAGGAATTTTGCTCCATGAATGGAAGGCCAGCCACAGGCTCTAGGTGAAAAGGAAGCTCAGATAGAGAAGAGAGTACCAAATGAAGGGTGTTGTGAGGGCCCTCCCAGGGTGGGAGAAGCATGCTAAAAGTAGTCGATAGACCAAACATGATTGCCACTCAAAGCCTCTCTTGCAAAACACAGTACCCAAAAGAAGAGAGAGAGAACGAGGGGGAATACCCTGCCACAGAGGCAGGATGGGACGGGGGGTGGGGGGGATGAGGGGTGGGGGAGATGCTGGGACCCGTGGGGATGGATGACGGGCACTGGTGGAGGGATGGGCACTTGATCATTGTATAACTGAAACCCAAGCACAAAATTTGTAAGCCTATAACTGTACCTCATGGTTTTTCACTAATAAAAAAAGAAAAAAAATATTAAAAGCCCATGAAAATTTCAAACATGGTTAATATCTCCTCTCATCAGTCCCCACTTTGAGTCTCTGCTTCCCCAAATTTTAGCTTCTCTGAAAAAATAGGTGAAGTCATGGGCTTCAAGGCCAAGCACCCGGGTTAAGAGTTTTCTGTGGAAATGCAAAACTTGTATGCTCTGAGAGAGGATGCTAAAAGTAGCCTTGAACTTCTCAGGTTCTTTGGTGTCATGTAATTTACAATCTGTTTACAGCCAGCTGGGAGAAAGGGGCAGGGGGGAAAGGCAAGGACAGAGGAGAAAGGTTAGAGGAAACCAAAGCTGCAGCCCACGCTCCTTTGGGTAGGGCTACCAGGCAGCCAACAAGTCCACGGGAGTGCTCTGTGGCCTCTTGTTTTCGGATCTTCTTGTTTGCTGTTTCTGAAAGGAGTCTAGGGTATAAGTGACAATTTCACCATGTAAAATAAGACCCAGGCAAACACCACTTAACTGCCACCCACACAAGAGCATTCTTGTTGTGAATTATTCACTGTATCTGATTTTCCTCTACAGCAGCTATTTTTGTAGCAGGTGTAAAATATTTAAAAGGCTGAATCAAATCTCCTAGTGCAGAGGCTTACAGCTACTTGTTAAAAGTCACACAGACTCCAAGCCTTGAGGTATTATAGAATTATACAGTT